ACATGTAGGTAACAAGCTAATTAAGGTATAAGACAGTGACTTACTAATGGTTTCTTTTAAACACAAATTATGGCATGTTTCTACCATATTTTTTTTTTCTTTTTAATTTTTTTTTCATTCATTACAAAATAAAGAATCTTCCATGGTTGTGTAATTACAAAAGGTATACTGTGTAGGCTTTGATTTGTCAGCTAACTGCATTTGCTAAGGTCATGGCATTTCATATTTTTTTGAGAAAACACAAGACTCAATCTTTCTGATCCCAAATTTCAAATGTAATTGAATTGTAATTGAAAAGTAACTGTCAATTACAGACAATTTTGGCTTTGTAATTCATTACTTTCAATTACTTGTAATTGAAAAAATGCTCAATTACACATTACATTCAATTACTTGAGAAATTGTAATTAATTACAGCCAATTACAATTACATATTTCAATTACCCCATGTCTGGCATTGTTTATAGCAAAGTTTCCATTGGAACTTCTGTTATGCAGAACAAATATACGTTGATATCTCAAGATAAAATATTAACAAAAATTATGGTAAAAACAGAGCATTCAAATAGTTTACTTTCAAATAACTACATCGGGTGCCGAATTAACATGGTCCGGATTAAACTAGGTGTCGAACGGACTTTACCAAGTGCCGTGTCGAAGTGACTAGAATGCAGAAATTGATCAGGATGATGAGTAATGTCCTTTCGGCAGGTTGGGGGAGATCCTCATTAATGGGTACTATTGTTGAGAATACCGCGGGAGTTAAGACGTCGCGTTTTACCAATTGTATCTAGGGTTGAAGTCAATGTGGGACGTAGCCTTAGCAGCTCTAATATATATGAAGTAAACGTTAAACTGTATGGTTGTGTTCTTTCTGTATAACGATAGTTGAGTTAGCCCCGACATTTATGGTGCCGTAACCAAAGGATTACATCGAAGATGGAGAAGTTAAAGAATATTAGGACTGGAAATAGAAGTGCAGTGACCAGACTTTTCTGAAAATTCGAGGAGGCGAAGGAAAACACGGACTTCGACAGAGATGAACTACTTGCAACGTACGATAATCTTACGCAAAAGAAAAATTGTTGGAAAAACTGAACGAACAGATATTGGAAGCAACGGATTCAGACAACGTTGAAAGTGAAATAGTAGATACAGATGAGTATTCAAATAATTTAGACACTAAACTTAGACATTTTCGTAATTTTATACAAATTGGTCAAAACCGTACACCAAGTTCCAATGTAACACAATCTTCATATCAAGTACTCAATGTAGAAAGCCCTCTTTTCCGCCCGTCAAATGTTGATAACTTTCAAAACGCAACACCATTCTATGCTTCATCCGCCGCTCAACCACAGACAAGCTACAATGGCTCTGATACAGGTCATATTGCACCACAAAATATAGCTAGTACTAGTAACCATCGTTTACCCAAGTTATCACTACCGAAGTTTAATGGCAACATATTAGATTGGCAAACATTTTGGGATTTGTACGAATCTGCTGTACATTTTAATCCTACTTTGACAAACATTGAGAAATTTAATTATCTGAAATCGCAACTTGAAAGCGAGGCATTAAATACGATAACTGGATTTGCGCTTACAAATGGTAATTACATGGAGGCTATAAATGTACTAAAGGAACGGTTTGGACAAACACACTGAATAACGGAAGCCTACTTACAGGCACTTTTAGATATTGCCCAACCACGATACACCTTGTCAAGCTTAAGATTATTTTATGACCGATGTGAAGCCTACGTAAGAGGTTTAGATTCGCTCGGACAACCTGAGACGTCATATGGAACTTTACTGGTACCGATTATTATGAGAAAGTTACCCAGTGAAATCAGACAACACTTAGCCAGAGAACACGGACCGTCCAGTTGGAATTTGAAAGATCTGAGAAGGAGCATATTGAATGAAATTCAAATCATGGAGGCAGGACAAAATACAGGTACATATCTCGAGTCTTTAGACCGTCAGTTTGCAACTGCATCTACATGTACATTTCATACAGGAACCGAATCACCGCGAGAAAACACATCACACAACGCGAAGAGCCAACCCCGGAATATTACAGAAAGACCATGTGTTTTTTGTAAAGAGATACATGCACCAGCACACTGTACCAATGTTAGTAATCATAAAGCTTGCATGTCTATCGTAAAACGTGATAATTTATGTTTTAATTGTTTAGGTAATCATCATGCTAATGAGTGTCAATCGAAACGAACGTGTCTACACTGCAACCAGAGACATCATTCCAGCCTATGTAGTGCAAGTAGCAATGTTAACAGCGAAGGTTTAGCATTCATTACAAGCAATACAAATAAACAGATTCAATCTACACCCGTCAATCTTATAAATGACACTGAAAACAAGGAAGATACTAAAGTTTTGCATTCATCGACACAGATGCGTACAAATGTGCTACTGAAAACGGCTGTAGCTCCTGTATGGTCAGGTAATATATGTATGGATACGAATGTTTTATTTGATGAGGGTGCACAAAGATCTTTTTTAACAGATGATCTAGCGAAGAAATTGAATTTGAAAACTGAAGGAGCTGAAGTTGTAAACCTATCGGCATTTGGAAAGGACAACACAAGCACGAGAGAACTACGCAAAACCACTGTATTTGTCGAAACCGAAAATAGTCGTAAATTTCCTATTGAAGTCCTTATTGTTCCTACTATAGCAGTTCCAATTCATAATCATATGCGGTACGTAAACCGAAATATGGATTATCTCAAAGGATTAAGACTCGCTCATCCAGTTACTCAGGACGATTCTTTTGAGATATCGTTACTTATTGGTGCCGACTACTATTGGAACTTTATCGAAACGAAGTAATAAGAGGAGACGGACCGATCGCGGTTAAGTCAAAGCTTGGATACTTATTATCAGGACCCTTACAACCAGGAAGGGTACGTTCGTCTACGACATCCAGCATCTTGAACGTACTGGTTTCGAATAAATCAGAGGAATTTGGCTTAAAAGAAATTATAAAGGAACAGACATGTCGCGGATTTATCGAGAGAGATGAGGAAGCAGAACCGACAGGGAAAATGTTAAAAGATGGACTGAATGATATGTATCTAATGAACTGTTGTGACTTATTATGGACTGTTACGAAAATGTTTGATTTATTGACTTACTTTCAAAAACCTATGATATGATACTATTTCATTGAAAGAAGGAACAGGTGCACGGAAAATATAGACATACTGTGATTTGTGTATACAAGATAGACTCATTGTGATTTAATTCGAAGATAACTAATCTGGAAGTTAATGACTGTGCTAAAGTTATTAAGTTAAAGTCAAGTTTAGATTTGATAGACAGTAATTTTCATTCATTTTTACTTTATTGTAATTTAATTTTAATATTTACTTTTAGCGGCCCGGCGAATGTTGAGAATGCCGCGGGAGTTAAGACGTCGCGTTTTACCAATTGTATCTAGGGTTGACGTCAATGCGGGACGTAGCCTTAGCAGCTCTAATATATATGAAGTAAATGTTAAACTGTATGGTTGTGTTCTTTCTGTATAACGATAGTTGAGTTAGCCCCGACATTTATACCCATTTATGGATATTTAATACCCAAAATCGGGTATCAATATACATGGCAACATAATTTCCCATCTAAGACCATATATCAACATATGAGAACTAAATACAAAGATAATGGCCCCCTAAAACCTTACTTTTTGAAGGCTGTTAACTTTTATCCTATGATATTTCAGTCATGACTCATGGTGTCTTTTGGCAAAATGTTGTACTTTACCCAAATGTTTGCGCCATGACAGAAAATATCTGTAGATCCAAAGTTTATATTTTTATCACTGAAAACTGATACCCGATTTGGGGTATAATACCCATAAATGAGGATAGTACCCATTTATGAGGATCCTCCGGTATCGGGTCCCTTCACTTCAAAAACACATTCGCAACCTACATGTACATGTTCACGTTCGCACCCCACACGTTTGCCCCCGAGACCGCTCGCACAGTATTTCTATTGAAATACCGGTTGAATTATAAGATGTTTTCTAGATGTATATATCAAAATGTTTATATTTTCATGAATAAAATTAGTGAATATTTTTTGTTTAATATTTTTTTTTGTGATTAGATAATTAATTATTAATCAGTGGTTCCCAAGGCTTTTAGAAATCAACTGGACATTTGGTCCAGTAATCAATTCTTCTTAACTGGACCAGACTCTTTATTACATGACATTTACACATATGAATTGGACAATATTAAAAATTTTACTGGTCATTTGGTCCAGTAATGCATATCACTTAACTGGACCAAACCAATTTTTACTGGTCTTTGCCCAATGTCCGGCGACCTTGGGAATGACTGATTTATTGTGATTTATTTAAGATTACTATTAATTGGTAATTACAAAGATAATTTGGAATTATTGTTATGTTTTTTGGTGTAAAGTAAAATACAGGTTGTTAGCTTGGTAGGAGTAAAAACAATGAAGATTTTAAATGAAAAAAAATGAAAGATAATTATTGTTAACAGCTTGTGGTGAGTTTGATAGCCGTTTGGAATCTTCTGCCTTTTTATAAGTCTTAGAGACGAATGACTTAGTCTTTGATCATGACAATATTCATTATATGTTTCGTCAAAATAATTCACATAAGAAAACCTGTTTACGTTTTTATAATGTCACTTTATTTTAAAACAAAACAAAATCTTATATTTTCTTTATTTTATAACAATACACTTACTAAAGCACGATAAAAACCTTATTCAACACAAAACCTTTAAAAGGGGTGCGAACGGACCAAGGGTGCGAACAGACCTAGGGAGCGAACGTGATTTTGGGCCAGGATTCGGATCCTCCCCAACCTGATTCAATAATTGGAAATAAAGATTTTTTAACTTTGCAGACGAAACGCGCATCTGGTGTACCAATTTATAAGCCTGCTGTTTTGATGAACTCTGACTCTGAACGCATAAAAGAGTTACATACTGTATTCTGTATACTGTATGGAGTTACATTAATTGAGAAAAACTTTTCTGAGTGCTGTTTGTTTACTAAAATTACTTCCCTTGAAGAAAAAAAAATAAGCCATTTACCAAATCAAAACAAAACACCAAACCTACCATAATAAAGTTTGGTTTAAAGAAAGTTGACGAAATATTTTAAATTGTAAAAAAGAAAATAATCAATAAAATCAATTATTTTCATTTTTAGGACAAACATTATTATGTGAAGGATAAACTTACAATGTTGAGGGGTTCTTTGTTGTTCTTCACATTTTCTTAATACGGTAAATGGTGATTGGTTGACCCAATATTATCCAATCAAAATTCAGGACACACATTTCGAATTTTTGTTTTGGTCTGCCCGATTTCTTTAGGCTGAAGAAAAGCAATGGACGTGCATAATATGAAGTACAATGAAATGCAAAAACTTGCTAAACAAGTTGGCATTAAGGCTAACATGAAGGTAAAAAAATCCAATGGGGAAATCTAGAAGCGGAACCGTATTTACTCTCTGGTCCTGTGCATATCAGCATATCAGAGACAGAGGCGCGTAAAGTCATGGACCCCCCTTTTTTTAATCCTTTTATTTTTTGGTTTTTTATATTTGGTAAATAACATTATACTTTCTTATTCGGACGATATAAGATGCAAGATTTTTATTGACCAATCATGGACCTTCAAGAATCATTGGGCATATACATGTACTCAAAATAGGAAGCAAGTTAACTCGTACCATTGTAAACTCGTACCACGTAAACTCGTACCAAAAAAGTTAACTCGTACCAACGTAAACTCGTACCACTGGGAAGTCGTACCAATCAGAACTCGTACCACTGCAAACTCGTACCATTAAAAATATATTCAAAAATACGAATGTTTTATGATTTGTTTTTTGGTAAACTAAATAAAAAAAGTTGAATTACTTGAATTTTATACTAGATTTTAATGAAAACTTAGACAAAAATACGAATGTTTTATGATCTTTTTTTTTTAAGCTTTATACAAAAAATTAAAATATCTTTGAAATTTATACCAGATTTTAATGAAAACTTAGACAAAAATATGAATGTAATTTCTTAATTACCATGCTAATAAATATATTAAATTCCTTTGATTGTGCGATTATTAACTAATCAACTTGTTTTTTTTATCTTTAACTAATCAACTTGTATAATCATATAAGCATGGTCATATTCTGTTGAAATGTGCTGAATATTGTATAAAAATAAATTTCATACTTTCTAACTGTTGGTCATAAACAATTTTAAACCTTTAAAACACAATCAATAAATTCTTTCATTAAATAAAATTCCTTTTAGAAACAATAGAAAAATACCCAAATCTATTCAATGTTACTGATTTGAAATGATTAAAAATTAAATCAAATAGTTGTCAGTAAAAGTTTAAAAAAGAGTCTATTCAAGGGAGACAACAAAGCCAATCTGCCGCGGTTTTCTCTATCCAATTAGACAAGGAAAATTAGCTACAAATTGGTTATTGTAATTTCAAATTATATACATTTTACAGACTTAAGAGGTATTGAGTGAAATTAAAGTATATATTCATCATTAAACACCATTTTAATGCATTTAAATAAGTTGGTACGAGTTTACAATGGTATGAATTTACCGTGGTACGAGTTAGCAGTGGTACGAGTTTGCATTGGTACGAGTTTTTGTTTAGTGGTACGAGTTGACATTGGTACGAGTTTACAATGGTACGAGATAACTATAATTCCTCAAAATATAACAATTTAACAATAATATATTACGGGGGCTTTCAAATAAAGAAGATATAAACCAGAAGTAGTTTTTTTTTTTGGCAGCTTGAGTTAACATACATGCATAAATAAATAAGTATAATGTACACACAAAGATATTCAAATAATACAATACATAAGATACACATACAAATAAACTAAATAAAGAGGGCCCAAAAGAAATAAACCAACTGTACATTAGTAAATGTACATATACATAGTAAACTTCTATTTTTATGATAAAAGGGTTGGGGGTGGGTGAAATATATTACGTCTAACTCTAACAATTTCGTATCAAATAATAAAGGTACAACCTAACAGTGTGAGTAGATTTCACTCACTTACAAATATATTATTTTGTCTATTATCTTTTCAATCAATTTAGCAGACGAATTTCAGCCGTGTAATTACTGGTTTTTAAATTATAAAAACAAACCGATTATAGCCATAATAGCATAACAAATTATATAAGACACATTAGGGAGCAACAATTTAACTTCAAGGGGGTTATGGTTTTTTGCCTGAGTCAGAAATTTTTTTTAGTATTTCGATGCTATCAAATTATTTTTTTCAAAATTTCACACTATAAGGTATTGGGGAAAATCTGGATTCAGATTTTTTTTTTTTTGTCATCTGCTTCACCACAATATTTTTTTTTCATCAAATTGGGGATCAGAATATTTTTTAGAAAAAAAACCATAACCCCCCTTGAAGTTAAATGGTCCTTCCCTTAACAGTACACAATCGATTGTACAAAGATTAAAATAGCAGTACCCCAGAAGTTTTATTGTGCTGCCCCTCTTATTTTTCCACAAGACCAGAAAGAGCAAAAATTAAATATTGTACATGTACAGAAAAAATTACAAAAATAAACTGAACTCCAAGGAAAATTCAAAATGAAAAGTCCCTTATCAAATGGCAAATTAAAAGCTCAAACACATCAAATGAATGGAAACCTGACTTAGTACAGGCATTTCCTTTATATGTAGAAAATAGTGGATTAAACCTGGTTTTATAGCTATAACCTCTCACTTCTATGAAAGTCGCATAGAATTCCATTATATCGACAACAATGTGTGAGCAAAAAAAACATAAATAATAGGTAAAAATGTTAAAAATTGGGATATAGCAGTCAACATTGTGATACATGTAATCTTAATCACTATAGCAACAAACAACATAAGCTTGACTAGCAAATTTTATGCACCATATTTCTCATCTTCGCTAGCCAAGGGTTACGATCCACTTCCCTCCTCTTCACCCTTGGCAGATGAAGCCAACATTTGTGATAACAATGTTGTGCCATCTATCGGTAGATTAAATTCACACCCATTCCTAATACATTATTTTTGACCAATGGTAGCACTTGAACTCTTCAATTTGGAAGTAAAAACACGGTAGGTCTAGATTCTACACACTTGGTAAAGCAGGAAACGAAAATATACGTTGACATTAATGCATTTGTGCAAGAAACATACACAGGAACTTCTATTACAGTCAGGGATACTACTTTTACAAGTAATTTTTATTTACTTGAAGAAGTAAATATTAATATACTTATATAAGGAAATTTGTAGGATACTTATACAGGTGTATTTTATTTACTTGTATAGGTAAACAAAAATTGGGCTTAGTTATGTCCCTTAGACAGTCAGGGGTACTACTTAAACAAGTGATTACAGAATCATTCCCTCAAGTGATTTTGGCTGTGAAATATTAAAAATTTTCACACAGACTTTTTAAAATCACTGAAACAAGTAATTTTAGAAGTTAAAATGTAATCACTTTAATAAGTGTTTATAACATTTTCTTGATATTTTTCCCACAAGCTTGATTTTTTTATTGGTAAAAAGACAACAATTCCATTGAAAAAACAACTATGTATATGCAGAAATTGTCTTTTGCTTGATAAGCCTGACACTTTTACAGTTTTTTTAAAATATGCAAAAACTGGAATAGTTTGTAGATCAGGTCATAACCTTGAAGTAGATCATTCTAACTCTAAAGAAAACCAATCAGGTTACCTAATATTGTTGATCTTTGTCTGATAGTAAGAGTAGCTAATGAATTTTTGATTACAGAAAAATTCCCAAGGGTACTTTTAAAAGCTTTAGCACACTAACTTACTGCCCAAGCGCACTGGTGAAATTAATATACAAAGAAAAAGGGATAATTGATTTATGTAGGAAAATTATAGAAAAGATTGTGAAAATATGGAAAATCAAAGAAATTAGCATTTGAAGATCAAAGACAACACTAAAATCACTTAAATAGGTGATAACTGAATTTATCAAATCACTGAAATAAGTGATGATGAAATCACTTGTTTAAGTAGCACCCCTGACTGTTAGACATTCAGATTTTTTTTACTTATACAAGTAAAAAAGTCATCCTATCTTCTTTTCTTGAATTCTTAGGACTTCTTTGCTCTTATAGAATTTTTGATTGACTGTCCTTTGCAGATGTCTTTACTAATCATTTAAATGTAATTTCATGGACAATGAAAATCTCATTTGTCTGTTATCTTCAGAACACTGCTCATTTACAAGCCCCCAAGAGGCAATTTTTGAAGGCCTTGCACAAATACTTAAGATCTTTGCGCAATCAGTTTCTTTGTTGAATTAATGAGATGAAACATTGAATTCAAATAAAAAATTATGAGCTAACCTGAGAAAAATTGTTAAAGGCATGTTTTTACATCTCAAAACTTGAGAATTTTTGTGGGATTGTAAAAAAAAATATACTTATACAAGTAAATTTTTGAGAAAATTAAGGGGAGATTATACAAACATTATAATTAACTTATATAAGTTTATTTTATTTACTTCTTCAAGTAAATAAAGATTACTTGTACAAGTAGTACCCCTGACTGTATTAGTTGATTAAAAACATTCAAATTGTCACTAAATATAGTCGTATGTTTAGGGATGTAAAGACTTGTTGCACAATAAACACGTGGCAATATTGTTTACATACACTTTCTACATTTACATGTGATCATGTTATAGGCGCTTTTGGATTGGATGCAGTGAGTTTCGACTGCAACCAATGAAAATCATTACCTTGTCTTCCGAAATTCTATCTCAATCCGCCAAGGGTGAAGAGGAGGGAAGTGGATCGTAACCCTTAGCTAGCGAAGATGCATATTTCTATTTAATCGTACAAAATCGATTATGTACATTTGTACATGTATGTACTCATAATATGAGGTAGGTGTGACATGTGAAAGAGGACAAAGTCCATAAAAATGATTCTTTTAATACTGAATGTTTTTGCAAAATTAAAACTGCAGAAAATGTATTTATATAGAGGATAACATGCGGTGTATGATTGCCAATGAGACAACTATCCACCAAAGTTCAAATTAATAAAGTGGATGAAATCAATTATAGGCAACCATCTGGCCTTCAACCCATACCATATGATCAGCTATAAAATGCCTGACATGAAAAATATGAGACAATTCAATTGAGAAAACTAACGGCCTAATTCTGAATTTCATATCAAAACAATTTACAAAAAAAAAAACAAATATGATAGAAATGGACCAACGATAACCACTGAAATACATGTACAGGCTTCTGACATGGGACAGGCACATAAACAAAGTGGCAGGGTTAAACATCAAAATTTTTTTTTTCATTATACAAGTTATGACATAAAAGAATCACTTAAATTTAAAAACCAACCATAACTTTTGAGATACCGTTCATCATTGGCTTCATGAATGAGGGCTTGACAATAAATACCTCTTTAGCAAATTGCAAAATAATTTATTCCCAACATAATTTCTGTTGAAAAAGTAACTAAATTACAGAAATATGTTCAATGTTGGTCCTGTTAGGAATTTTATCTATGAAGTCATTTTCAATGTAAACAAAGAAATGCTATCTTTTTCAGTTAAAATTTCTATTTCATAATAAAGTATTATTTGATTTAATGTGTAATAATTTATTCCTTAAACAACAAAAATACTACATAGGCTTATCATTATTCTCCATGCATCAGATAAGGATACAAAATCTGAGTAGGTGAGTTTCCCCAACTCATTTTGTTTGCTATAAATATCAATTTTTTTTTTCTCTTGATTATTTTTTCATATCAATTTATGCAGTTGTATTACCGTTGTCCATCTGTCCTTCCGTCTGTTGTCAACATGTCGGACAATAACTCAAAAACACTTTAACCAATTTGCATGAAACTTTGGTGAATTGTTTATATCTATCGATGGAGCTCCCTTTCGTTTTTTATAAATTTTAGATTTTACGTTTCCGAGTTGTGGGGTTTTATTCATTAATAAAGGGGGATTTTCAAGTTTTCAGACAATAACTCAAAAAGGCTTTCACCAATTTGCAAGAAACTTTGGTGAATTGTTTATATCTATCGACGTGAGCTCCATCTCGTTTTTTATAAATTTTAGATTTTACGTTTCCGAGTTGTGGGGTTTTATTCATTAATAAATGGGGGTTTTTCCAGTTTTCAGACAATAACTCAAAAACGCTTTCACCAATTTGCAAGAAACTTTGGTGAATTGTTTATATCTATTGACATGATCTCCCTTTCAATTTTTATAAATTTTAGATTTTATTTTTCAAATTTATGGGGTTTTATTCATTAAAAAAAGGGGGGATTTTCCAGTTTTCGGACAATTACTCAAAAATGCTTTCAGCAGTTTTCATGAAACTTTAGTGAATTGTTTATATCTATTGACATAAGCTCATTTTCGATTTTATGTTTCCAAATTATAGGATTTTATTCATAAAAAAGGGGGGATTTTCCAGTTTTCTGACAATATCTTTAAAGTGCTTTGAGCAGCTTTTATGAAACTTTGGTGACTGGTTTATATCTATTAAGATAATCTCCCTTTAGTTTTCCATCAATTTCTGATATGACATTTAGAAGTTATTGAACTTTATTCTTTGAAAACGCGACGGACGTATCATGTGCTCATGGCGCAGCTGTTTATTTGTTTATGCTTTTCTATGATGAGGGCCTCAGGGAAGATTAGTTATATAGCTAACTGTGTAACCTCTTAAATAAAGTATTGTTGTTGCTATCTCGAAAATCGTATGTTGAATAAGCTCATTATTCAACTGACATTAGATAACTGAAAATAAGTTCAAATGTTATGAAAATTTGCTTACAAAGATTTAACATAAAAAAAAATGGAAAAGAAAAAAATGTGAATCCATGCCCCAAGTGCCTGACTTATACTGACCATAGATGGGTTATGGATATCTGCTTTGGTCGAACATAGCCTGATCTGGCTTTATAAGTTAAATTGGGCTTTAAAAGTTATCTTCCTTAACAAAATTTCTATTTCTCTCCAGTTACTTAAAAGTGCAATCTTTAACTTTGCAGTTAATTGTTGATCATTATTAACAATGCTAAATTGTTAATAGTGCCCCAAATAAGTAACTACATGTATCCTCAATTGAGGGATATTTTCCTAGTGTTTAAAAAACTTTTTTTCATCATCCCTATTTGATTTATTTTAGTTTGCAAGATTAAAAACAGCTCTGATAGAGTATTACCAACAAGAAAACAAAGAAAACAGCCCAGCAACACCAATTTCTAAAGGAGAACAGATCGTGGAAAAAACAGAAGAAGAAATAGCAATCACTGTAAGGAAAGATAAATATATATATATATATATATATATAAACCAAGGCTTCAAAACGGTCATATATTCCGGACATTTGTATAATGTCCGGTAAAAGTCCGGCTGGGCAAAGCACGAAACGGTCATCTACTTTTTATTTTTTCAAGGCTTTCTTAAGAGACGGTCATTTAAACATAATTCGCGATCTTTTTGACCCAACCTTTTGCCTTTAACAGCCACACATTTCCGGTCATAAAAGTGACATGATCATTAAGTACTATCAAAACAACCCCTACTTTAATACCTTCTCATTTTAATCAAGGCTAATTAATTAGTTGTCGAACAGCTGAAATTTACCTGTTCAGGTGACAGGTAAACTATTTTGAACCGGACATTGATCGGTCTATTCAAAGTTATTTTCTTACATTTCACCGGTTTGCATCTAATTAATTTAGTCAAAAAGATTTAAATTATCAGAAATACATTTACAAATAAGATTTGATGAAAAAATTAAAGAGGTGAAAATGAAAAATCATCATAACCACGTTGTTTGAACCAGAGACATGTCTCTGTTTGAACTAGTTCACGTGTGCGCATGTGCATGTGCGCAGGTGTGAAATTTAATTATGCATCCTTATTTCTTTAAAAAATGCTTAAATTGTCATTGATACCTTTATCTCACGTTTATTTCGAATATTTTCATGAAGAAATAACGTAGAATGAGCTACTTACACTCATTCATGCTTTGCAAACGTACACAGAATTTACGTATCCGTCTCTGGTCCATGTTTTACCATTGTCAAGATAACATCTGGTTTCAGATTTAAAAACGAAAGTAAAGTTTTTGACAACGTTATGTTGCACAAATAAAGAGTCTAAGGCAGATATAAGTACGCTGATGTTGCACACTTCGGATGATGCACTGCCAATTTAACAGTTTATGTCAGAACTTCGAATTTGAATCAAAGAAAGTTTAATATTGTTTTTTTGTCGAGCCTGCGACTTTTGTCGCAGAAAGCTCGACATAGGGATAGTGATCCGGCGGCGGCGGCGGCGGCGGCTACGGCGGCGGCTGCGTTAGCTAACTTCTTAAAAGCTTTATATTTTAGAAGGTGGAAGGTCTGGATGCTTCATACTTTGTATATGGATGCCTCATGTTACGAAGTTTCCGTCAGTCACATGTCCAATGTCCTTGACCTCATTTTCATGGTTCAGTGACTACTTGAAAAAAAAGTTAAGATTTTTTGTAATGTTAGATTCTCTCTTATTATAAGTAATAGGATAACTGTATTTGGTATGTGCGTACCTTGCAAGGTCCTCATGCCCGTCAGACAGTTTTCACTTGACCTCGACCTCATTTCATGGATCAGTGAACAAGGTTAAGTTTTGGTGGTCAAGTCCATATCTCAGATACTATAAGCAATAGGTCTAGTATATTCGGTGTATGGAAGGACTGTAAGGTGTACATGTCCAACTGGCAGGTGTCATCCGACCTTGACCTCATTTTCATGGTTCAGTGGTTATAGTTAAGTTTTTGTGTTTTGGTCTGTTTTTCTTATACTGTATGCCATAGGTCTACTATATTTGGTGTATGGAATGATTGTAAGGTGTACATGTCTAGCGGGCAGGTGTCATCTGACCTTGACCTCATTTTCATGGTTCAGTGGTCAAAGTTAAGTTTTTGAGTTTTGGTCTTTTTTTCTAGTACTATATGCAATAGTTCAACTATATTTGGTATGTGCGTACCTTGCAAGGTCCTCATGCCCGTCAGACAGTTTTCACTTGACCTCGACCTCATTTCATGGATCAGTGAACAAGGTTAAGTTTTGGTGGTCAAGTCCATATCTCAGATACTATAAGCAATAGGTCTAGTATATTCGGTGTATGGAAGGACTGTAAGGTGTACATGTCCAACTGGCAGGTGTCATCTGACCTTGACCTCATTTTCATGGTTCAGTGGTTATATAGTTAAGTTTTTGTGTTTTGGTTTGTTTTTCTTATACTGTATGCCATAGGTCTACTATATTTGGTGTATGGAATGATTGTAAGGTGTACATGTCTAGCGGGCAGGTGTCATCTGACCTTGACCTCATTTTCATGGTTCAGTGGTCAAAGTTAAGTTTTTGAGTTTTGGTCTTTTTTTCTAGTACTATATGCAATAGTTCAACTATATTTGGTATGTGCGTACCTTGCAAGGTCCTCATGCCCGTCAGACAGTTTTCACTTGACCTCGACCTCATTTCATGGATCAGTGAACAAGGTTAAGTTTTGATGGTCAAGTCCATATCTCAGATACTATAAGCAATAGGTCTAGTATATTCGGTGTATGGAAGGACTGTAAGGTGTACATGTCTAGCTGGCAGGTGTCATCTGACCTTGACCTCATTTTCATGGTTCAGTGGTTATAGTTAAAGTTTTTGTGTTTTGGTCTGTTTTTCTTATACTGTATGCCATAGGTCTACTATATTTGGTGTATGGAATGATTGTAAGGTGTACATGTCTAGCGGGCAGGTGTCATCTGACATTGACCTCATTTTCATGGTTCAGTGGTCAAAGTTAAGTTTTTGAGTTTTGGTTTTTTTTTCTAATACTATGTGCAATAGTTCAACTATATTTGGTTAATGGAAATATTTTATGATCTAAATGTCAGTCACGCAGGTTTTATGTGACCTTGACCTCATTTTCAAGGTTTATTGCTCAGTGTTAAGTTTTTTGTGTTTTGGTCTGTTTTTCTTAAACTATAAGCAATAGGTCAACTATATTTGTTGTATGGAAGAATTGTTAGCTGTACATGCCTGCCTAGTATGGTTCATCTGACCTTGACCTCATTTTCATGGTTCATTGGTCAATGTTTAGTTTACTTGGTTAATGTTAAGTTTATGTGACAGTTGTAATAAAGCTTTATATTTAGGACTATCAACATAATATCAATGATTAGTAAAGAAGGCGAGACATTTCAGCGTGTGCACTCTTGTTTAAATATCAATCATTGGGATGGCCAACTCAGCAACTGATTACCATAATTGACTTTTGTTTATTTAGTCTTAAAGGATTAAAATCGGGATAATATATAAAATGTCTGGCTGGCTAAAAATAATTTTGGAAGCCCTGATATAAACCCCTAAAAAGTGTACAAAACAACACCAATATTAAAAAAAAATATTAAATTTAATTATCTATAAATATTTTGGATAACAGATATCCTTGATCAGTATGATCATGATGTAAAATGAATCATATCAATCTATTCTGATTTAAAACTATAACAATCTTTAAATTTATACAATTAAAACCGAACAACGCTTGTTCAATTCTAAGATTTCAAAAATGACATAGGTTAGGTATTTACAACAAAGACTGCACAGATATGCTTCTAACAAAAATAGTAATGTGTGATATGAACTGGTATATTTCTAAAATTTCACAGGTGACGAAAGTTAAGATATTACAACAAAGACTGCATAGAAATACATTCCCAATGAATAGCACTGACCGATTTGAGCTGGTATAATACTCAAATTTCAAATTTGACGACGGTAAAGTAATTACAACAGAGGCTGTGTATTTACACATCCCAAATAAATGGCAGTTTGATAATGATTAAACATTTTAATTGTGACAAAGGTTAAGTAATTGAACTTGGCTGGGTACTTATACATCTCAAATGAATAGCACCCTGCGATTTAAACTGGTATAATTCTAGAATTTTAGAGTTGACAAAGGTAAATGAATAGCAACAGAGACTGCATAGTAATATGTAATATACCCAAATGAAAAGCACTGTGCAAATTAGAACTACACCTTTTCATTGATCCCATTTGGTGTCAAAGATTTTTATTTTCTGATTATTTGGCTGTTCTGACTCGCCAACATACTGTGTACCACATTTACACTGTAGAAGATACACAGCATTTGTAGTCTTGCAATTAACATTGTAAAATATGGTGTATTCCGTACCAGTGGAGTGACGGTTAAAAGTCTGGGTATTCAGTATTTGCTTGCAGGTCAGACATTGTTTGTTTCTGCATCCCTTGCAAGAGCCCACAAACGAAGAGCCTGATTTAGAGGATTAATTTATCAGAATAATTAAAAAACTTTGAATCTTTTACTTTTGGAAATTTACATTGAATTACAAATGTAAAAGATTTTTTTCCGGTGCTAGAAATCATAACAAATTTTTATCTCATACTGTGAAAAAAAAGTAATGAGGAATTTTGTTTTCTGGTGCAGACTTCTCCAAAGAACGAAGAGAAAATAGAACTATTAGAAGAAAAGCCTGCCATTAAAGGAAAAAGGAAAGCAAAGTCAAAAAGAACTTTAAAGAAAAAAGAACAGGAAAGCAAGGTTTGATCAAATTAAACTATTAACCTTTTCCCCAATAATAGCCCATATAGAACTTAAAAAAAACAACAACATTGAAATATGCAATGATGGTTTCCCATGTAATGGAAAAGGAATTGAATAAGATATAAATTGTTATATGATATTAAATAAAATAATATGTAATTGATCTGATGCATCTGAAAATGTTGAACCCAAAATGAAATATGAAGGTTATTTTAAACAAGTTGCAATATATTTAATTTATTAAAAAACTCCATTACTTGTACTTTTCAATTGTTTGAATTTATATGAGTATTTTCATCTTGATCATGATAAAACTTTGGGATTTGATAAAATTAAATGTCTATTCAACATTTGCACTAAAGGACACTTGTTAAATTACTATTATATATACAGGTACATGTAATGAGATTTGGTATAGGTTGTTTGCCATGTAAACACACAAGGGCAAGGATGTATACAACTATGGGATATGGCCTTCAACAATGACAGAAAAAAACACATACTGTATGTGTTTGGAATAAGAAGAGTACAAAGTTGTTTTGTATTTATAAATATTTGTGGTTGTTGTTTGTTGCTGTATATCATATTTGTTTTTCGTTCATTTTGTACATAAATCAGGCCGTTAGTTTTCTTGTTTGAATAATTTTACATTTGTCAATTCGGGGCCTTTTATAGCTGACTATGCGGTATGGGTTTTGCTCATTGTTGAAGGCGGTACAGTGACCTATAGTTGTTAATTTCTATGTCATTTGGTCTCTTGTGGTGAGTTGTCTCATTGGCAATCATATCACATCTTCTTATTTTTATATATTAATTTGACATATTATAATCCAGTGTTTAAAAAGATCCTTTTAGTAGAGGAAGTCCACTTAGGGCTATTCCAGAAAAAATGTATGGGGTGGGGGGGGGGGTTGTTGGAAGGCAGTTTGTTTCAGCACCCACCACCCAGACAATTGTAATTGAGAATCATAGGGCCAAAATAAATAAATAGTGTGTTTCCGGTTTCCTGACCCTACCTCCGTTTAGGACGCCGACCCTAAACATTTTATTAACAAAAATTTTAAAAAATATTATAAATACGGATTTTTCAGTCTGTTCAGATCGGATTATTTGTTTAGAAAACTACAAATTTTCAAAATGTTTGATAGCAATGACCAATATTGATAAGTAAAGCGTTTCAAGGACCAAGATTTTAAATAAACAAGCATGGCTTTTTGACAACCGTGCAGCGTATTAGCTGTCAAATATGCGAAATGTGATCACATGGACGCAAAATATGACATCAATTCCGGATAATTACGATAGATGAATCTTTTTGAAGAACACCATGATGAACCTATAGACGAATATAATACGAAGTTGACGCATTTTGCTCAACTTCTTTGCACAGGTACAAGACGAGATTTTTTAAATATTTGCATATATAGTGAATAATGTATTCAGTTTATATACATATATTAACAAAATCTCGTTTTGTACCTGTGCTTCTTTGGACCAAACGTCAGAATCGTTTCAGGTTGGACATACTGTATCTCAAAATTATCTGTCGGTTAATTGACAAATAATTTTAAGAGTACAATGAGTTCAAATTACTGCTAAAATCAATCTAGTTTTAGTTGTAAAAAATGCTCTTACAAATGTTGTAAAAAATTGTTCTCTGGGCTGTTAATTCTTTTGAGCTTTTGACAGTTTGAGTTACTGACGGCAAGGGGGCAGACAATGTGTAATGAGAAATAGAAAGCTTTCCCCAATAGGCAGACATGGTGTATAATTCATGTTCATTTATAAATGAATCTGCCCCGGCACCAGGTCTACTTTAATTCTTTTATATTTTCTCTGGCTGATCCCACAACAGTTTATACTAGAGTAGGAAAAAAATTCATGTCATATTATTATCTACAATTTTTTTGCCATAGATTTAATAAGACAAAGATTTTGCAATCTCACTCTTCTCAAAACCTGGAATTTTAATATTGTCAAGATTAAATTCTGTCAAACATCAAAACACATCTATATATTAAATAAAGAGGGTGCAAGAGTATTACCCCTCGAAAAATCATAATAAGCCGTTGCTTAGCATCGATTTGCAGTGTTTTTACTACTAAAAAAAGGGGGTAGTAATCTGTTCCCACATGTACAATGTATACCCTGCGTGTCATTTACATTGTAAGCCTCAACGAGGCCAAACAATAATACCATGCCAGATTTTTCACTGCCATTTTTGCTTTAAGATAATTAATCGGCAAGAACATATTCACATTACGACCCATGAAATGCATAAAATTTGCATTAAAGTTTAATTTCATATTTCTTACACAGAACTAAAACAGAAAATTAAAAAAGCTGTAGATTTAAGTACTTTTCTGAATATCAAAGAAGCAGACACATCAATTGATTTCATTTGGAACCTTTTTCTGCTGTCTGACATCGATAGAAAAAAATACAAAGTTTTCATAAAATAAAATGTTTTACCTACCTACCCTACCTAATTTTTTTCGGGGTGAAATAGGAAACACACTATTTATTTTGGCCTAGTGCATTATAGTGTGAAAAGTTGCTCTGATACCCGTCACCCATGTATTATTAATATAAAGTGTCTTCCAACCCCACATACATTTTTTTCTGGAATAGCCCGTAGCCAAATATTGAAATAAGATGCTTTGAATCGGAATTTCATTGTATTTTGAGTTTAAGGACTTATCAGAATCAAGTGGGACTCACCATCCCAAGACTAACCCTCAAAATATTCTAGTAAAACCCTGTGTAACATAGTAACATAGAAAATATCACAAACCTGTAATTTAGATTTTCTGAATAGCTGAGCAGGAGGCTGCAGTTTTAAGTCAGATAGATAATACAGTGATTTTGCTAGTGCTCGTCACTTTTGTAATTTACGAAACTGTTTTCAAAATGACGAAAGTATTTCAAATCAATTTCGTCACTTAAATTTTTAAAATGTAAAAATATTTTCACATGAAAATACTATAATTCTACCTGTCTACATATTTCTGACAAGTTTGTGACCCTCAGCTAATTAACATTTACAACAGGTGTTATAAAGTTGTGATTACAGTTAATCCGCTCATCGCCATCGGATGGGTCACTAATCCGGTTAATTATTTTCCTCAGTAAAATAAGTCAGTCAGCATTTTAATTTCAATATTTCTCAAGGCCAACGACCACAATTTGCAGTTCGTTTGTTGTAGTTTCGTCATTTGAACAAAATTGTTTTCCCCTGGACAGTTCACTTTTAATTTCAATATTTCTAATACAATCATAATTTGCAGTTCGTTTGTCGTAGTTTTGTCAAATGATCATATTTTAGTCATCTTTAATATAAAACATTCAATTTCGTTTAAAAAGATAGAACTTTATTCAAAACGTTCAGAAATGTTTTCACGTTAAAAACTTCCATCATCATCATCGAGGAGTCAAACAGGTGCTTCCTTTACGATATACTGTGCATGAGTGAAAGTATTCCTATGAATTTATAGACACTAAAACGTAAAATACGAAATAAATTTAGTGCCAAAATAAATGAGAAAGACAAATATAGTTCTTACTAAGCAAATTGAAATAAAAAAAAATGATAATTTCCTGCCTCTTTTAAACACGAACCAATCCTTAGATGAATCTGGAGTCATTCTGAATTTATTATCTACTTGTCACTTCCCGTTTACATTTCATTTGAAAATCGAAAGTAAACGTGATCAATTCTCGATTAATTTACCATTTACAGTTATTGGAATCGTTCCATGTGAATTTGTACAAATCCTTGGTTCCAACTTTATAGAAATTAATTCAAAATATCGATTTAAACGTTTTTATAAGGATGATGATTATGCAGTGTAATAGTCTTACTAAGTTCAACAAGTTCATTTATACTGTGATTCCTGGTTTTAAAAAAAGGAACCCAACTTTTGTTGATCAGGAATGTCCCCTGAAACTAATTGAAGTAAAATTTTGAACTAGATTTTCAGATCTTATATCCTAATCTTCATATTTAAGTGACACATCAGTCAAATCATGCAATTACTGCCTAGTAAATTTATGCCTTAGTCTGACAAAGATATATAGCTAGTAATATACATACATCCTTGGTCCCTTGCTGTTACCCAAAATAATGTTGATTTTCATCTCGTGCAAAAGTGACTAAAGCCCTCAAAATCCTAGCTTAAACCCTGGATAATAGATTTATATGATTTGGGGAAATGTTTTAGCACTAGAAATATATTTTTTTTGTTTTTTTTCACAGAAAGACAAAAAGATAGTTAAAGATGAAACATCAACCTCAAAATCCAAGAGTTCAGTTCAACCAGAAATCAGAACACCAGCAACTACCAAATCAGGAAAAATAGGAACATCAAGTCCATTTACTTCCAAAGTTATAAGTGCCAAGACCACTCCTGCAAAAATTCAACAGAAATTTGGAACAAATCGCCTACAAACATCAATAAATAATAGAAAATTTACCCCACATGCTGTGAGAGCTAAAAGTTTTATTGGTACACCCCAGAGTGCCACTGCAAAATCTGCACAAAAGAGAAAGATATCAAAGGTACCAAGGGCTTTTTATATTTATGATTTAATATGTTTAAGTGAAAGTTGTTTAAAGTACAGTTGATACTTGAGTAAAAGTCGATTGGCGTTTTCATGTCAGAAATCCAAGACTTGAGATTTGAGCCGCGTATAAGTCATATGATTTTTGTCATTTCTTCTGATGGAAAATTGGCTGTTGCAGTTCTACATGATGAAAAACAATCATACCAAGTATAAAAGCTTTCTAGTTAATGGTCTCAGAGGAGTTGCATAGTTTTTTCAAAAGTTCCAAAAGGGTAAAAAAATCATAGAAAATCATAAAAAATTGTCAAATAAAATGACAATTTAGTATGGTCAACTGCATGTGATGGCAAACAATCCTATTAAGTATAAAAGCTTTCTGCCCAGCAATCTAAGAGTTGTAAAACATGTTAAATCAAGACCACAGTATACATGTAGTACATGTATGGCGACACATCAACTACTAATTATGACAAACAATCTTACCAAGTTTGAAATACATCTTTCTGCGAAACAGTTCCATGGAGTTGCATTTATAAGGTGTCATTGTGTTACAATAGTATCAAAAAGGTAATAGTTGCATAACTCCTGTAAAAAATGCGGAATCTTTATTTTAAGTAGTGATTTGGTCCAGTTTAAAAAGGTCAAAAATTAGTATGTCTGAAGCTGTCAAACTGAATTTTAGACTCCCTTAGCATAGAATTGTCAATATTTTGAGTTAGAGCTGATTAGTACATTACACTGTAAAAATCTTTTTGAGATAGAGTAGGTGCGATTTTTTTAATTTGAATTTATTGTCTAAAAGAAATCCACTACGAAATAACTGTGTTCTCTGGCCTAATTTCATGAAAATACCTGTTTTTCATAAAATAATAGTAGCAAATGCTTGTAAATGATTCTAGAACTCTAATCGAGTGTTGAAATAAGCCAAAATCACAAAAAAAAAACAATTGGAAAAGCTGTAGTTGTCATACACCAGAAAATAGCAGAAATATTGAAAGGACTTTTAGCAAGACAAAACACATGCAGCAGTATGAAACAACAAATCTGAACGAATAACCTATTACGCTTTATTCTTTATACATTGTTAAGCACAAACTGGTTCCCTGCTGACTACTTCACTTTGTTCAAAGCATTAAATACAAGTGGATTCCAGTTTACGTTATGCAATGCTACAAGATTAAATGAGAAATTAATTATTTGTAATGAAACATTTAATTTTGATATTTTTACAGACACAACAGGTGGAAGAAAGACCAGCTAAAAGAACAAGGACATCTTTTGAGAAATCTGCAATTTCTAATGAGCCCTCACCAAGACTATCATCTAGAAGGTCAACCTTCAGTGTTGAAAAGACAAAAAAAGAAATAAATAGTGGATCAGGAAGTCCAAGCATCCAGGATTTGGTCAGTTCAATGGATACAGAAAAAAATGATGAGGAGATGAAGAAAAATTTGATGCAAGCTTTGGACAAGAAAATACAGGGAAAAAGTGAGTATTTCTATAACCATAAATTTTAGTGTTGTTGCGATGATCGAAATAAGTTGGAAATCAGTTGGTTGGACCTGGCGAGGTAGATAATTGAATGGGATTTTGTTCAATTGATTGTCGTTATAGTTTCTGGACTTAAGCATATCAACTTCTGGACCGTTTCCGGTCTGCATTTTACATGCGCAGTCAAACAAATTGTAACAAAAAATATCAGTCGATGACAATAACAATGTCAAACATCCTATAATTAAAGATAACCAATTTCTGTTTTATAAAGGTGGTAAAAGCATTGACTATACAGATTGATCGTATGTTATTCAAAATAAATAACTTTTTATGAAATACTTTATTTCAATTCTGGTACTTGTTACTCGGGAGCATACATGAAATCATTCTGATTTTAGACAAAATAATTTTTTGCTACATAAAACGTGGTCAAATTGCCTTTTATTACTGTTTTTTTCAGTAATTCAATCTAATAGAATAATAAAATGATCCCTTAAATATGTCATTTTAGCAAGAGAACAATTATATTTTTATCATTTCCTATGATCACAAGATCAACCAACTAAAACAATTGAATGTGATATCCCTTTTCACTGATTTCCATATCAATGCAAAATGTAACAATACTTAAAATATAACTTATATTGTAAAGTTAACTGAATTGAACTTAAAAATTAATCTGTAATGTCATATTATTATATTAAATACCATCTGAGATGGATTCATGTTTCTCTGTCAATATATATACCAACTATTCTCCTATGGTGCAGTAAGTGCCAGAATTAGACCCCTGCTTCATTGTAAAAACTACTGATGTATCCCAGTTAACAATATAAGCTGACTACCGGTACTTCATCATGAAATTGTCAGTGTGTCTACAACATTGTCTGTGACATAATGACATTATGAAAGTTTCTTTCATTTTGATGATAGTATGAGATATTTTTGTTTAGTATTCCTGTCTACGAAGACAAGGTAAAGATATACATCAATTAAACAGCAACTCAAGGACACAAAATGTTAAAGACATCTAAAGGATAATATATACAGTCTTCAGCAATAGACAAGTGTCTATACAATATGTCAATCTCTAAATCATTTCAATTCAAGAAAAGTTATGAATAAATTTGAACATACTATTAAAGATTTGCTATCCACACCATAAATTCCTTAAAGGAACAAAAAAAAAAAAAAGACATAAAAGTGTATATTGTAATTTATGATATAATTTATTTGGTATTGATTTGGTTTGCATGCCTTATGTTTTTTTTGTTTTTATCCTGCAATCAACAAACTTTTGTACAAATTGCAGACATGCAGTTGCACATGAATTTCTGGTTTATTAGTACTTGAACAAATAATAATAATATAATGATAATAATTCTTTATTTAAAAAGGGTTACACTGTTAGCTATAAAACTAATCTTCCCTGAGGCCCTCGTAAAAATAAATTGAAATATATAACAAACACAGAATTACAAAATAATCAAACAAAACACACACATAAGAAAAATCAAATAAGAAATTATGAAATATACAATTTTCAAAACAGGTAAAAATTATGAATTCAAATAGTATTGGCATCATTCAAATTACCTCAACAATATTTAAAGTTTAAGTAAGTGTGTGAAAAATTATTATGCATATAGAAATTACACAGCTTCCTAATGTTCCAACAAGTAATTTTTTAAATCTTTTTTGACTTTTTTTTTACTTGAGGTCTCCTGTTATTCTGCTCGTATGTTCAGGGAAAGGTAATGTTAAAATTAATATTTATGTCAAAACTTGTTTTATAGTGCTCTTCATGGTCCCTGTTTAAGCCATGTCGAATTTTATAAAGATAATCAAAGACAACAGTTGAGAATATAAATAGTCAAGGTTTAGTAGCAGGATAATGTACATTGATGGAAAATATAAAATTTATTTGTACTTGCTAAAGAACAGGAGGAAAGCTTGGTAAGTCATGCTTTTCTTCCAGTTTCTAATTTTCTTTACTGCCCATTTTGTTTTTTTTCTCTTTTGGTCACTTTATGATTTCACTTCAGCTTTTTGTAGTGGAAAAAGATAAGATATTGTAACATTGTTAGGCCTGAGTAGGATCTGGTTTTAAGAAGTGTTTTAATTATTATTTTGTTATGTAACCTCAAACAAATGTATTCACTTATTTATTTCGTTGAAAAAGTGATTGGAAAATAAGTTATTTATGTGTTAAAAGTATATGCAGCTGCTTTATTTTTACAGCAGAAACAGTTGGTTCAAAAGGAAAAATCACAAACAGTACACAAATTCCAAGGTTTGCAGCCTTTTTAGAGAAGAAGAAACAAGAACAGTGTAAACCAATAACTCCAGGTAAAATAGTTTAGATACCTGGCTTAGATAACCATCCCACCATGTGTTAATGTATTCCAGATATTGTTTTTTACTGTCCACCTGTATATTAATAAATGTATAAGCAGAATTAACATGGCCAGAAACCAGTTCAGCTTGTACCTAATATTACTGGTTGTAATTGTCCAGTTTTCAGAGTTTTCCCTAAGAATGTGTAACCAGCCAAATCATTAAATCTATTTAATCAATTTATTAGTCCAGATCAAAAGCTGACATAAAAAGAAATATATCCCTTTTATTTAAGTATTTAAGTATTTGGGTTGGAAACCTTGAAAGAAAAATAAGTGGAATCAACTGAACGAAATTGTGTTTATTTATAAAACTTTCTACCTGCTTGAACTTTGTTCATGTTTTTTTTTTTGGAATAGTACTTTTCATCTGCTGAGTATTTAATTGCCTCGTTTTGTTCCATGCTTTGTTCTGAATGATAACCTTATACTTGAGAGAGCTATAGTTAACTCATAAGAGTTTGTATATAGGAAAACCATGAGGCAATCATTGTTTATTTTAATGGATAGAACGTTAAAAAAATTTATAACTCAATAAAATTAAAAATGTCCTTTAGCACCACAAACATTGGTTTAAGACAAATCCTTCTATAAATCTACTGATTGTTTTAAAAGTTTAGAACCTTTAAATAAGCAAAGATTTCTTCTGCTAAATTTTTAAGCGTAAAGAACCCATATTTGTCAGGCAATATGGATCATAATTTTTATAGTCAGTAAGTTTAAGAATAATGTTTGCCATAGCAAATGCTGGATTATAATATTTTTATGAAAAAAACAACTGTTTTGGAAATTGTTGGGTTTTTTTTGTAACCCTTCAGGCTGAACAAATGGCCACAACCCATGAAAAGAGTGAAATAATCACCTAATCAATATGCAAATATTGTAGTTCTCATTTAAATAAAATTATGCATAGACAGATTTAGGAGTTCCTTTCCTTAATAGTGAATCTTTTAAAATTACAGGGAACAAAGACTGGACAAAGATTCATCAAAAAGAATTTGAAAAGTTTGACTCCATAGATGTTTATCTTAACAAAAAAAGAAAGCATCGAGAAGAGACCAATATGTCTGTAAAGAAAGCCAGAATGTTGGTAGAACAAACAAAAGAAGCTATTAAAAGACTAAAGAACCATAAAACTCCTGCAAAAGAAAACAAGGTTCATACTGAATAATTCTTGCTAAAATTAGAACTTCTTATAATTCATGTAGGATTTTCATAGTAAGGAATTCTTTACTTTTTGTTACAAACGCTTCAGTGGTGTTTTTTAGGGCATTTTATTTTTTTTATCTAGACAATATTCACTGGACTTCTTTTGCTATCACTCTATATTCATGCTCAGTACAAATCTATGGAATTTACTTCTGTGTGCATACTGGGTATTTGGTAGATTTTTTAATTGTTAGTGGTTCACAACTGTCTAAAAATTAATGGTGTTCAGATTATACAGCATACTACAAGATCTAGGACAAAAAAGGTTAATGCGTAATATGGACAAATGGGGATGTTGTACTACTTTCTTCAATTGTTACCAAAAACAAACAAAAAAAGAGAATTGCAAATTTTTCTGCATAATTTCAGAAATAAATTAAAACAACATTTGGAAGAAAGAAATCATCAAAGAAGGCATTAGGTGACCAAAATAAAATTTTAGTATACCCCTTAAGCTTGTAAGTGGGTAATAGAAAATAATGTTTTAGGAATATGGGGAAAAAAATGGGTAGATAGTTGTATCTTATTGTGGACTATTACATTGTGATTCAGAGTGTTAAGAATCCATTTCAATTTGTGTTTTAGTTCAATGCATGGTATATCAATATAACAATATGTTACCCTGAATATGTAGGAAATATATTTCCTGAACATTATTCATTCATACATTTTCTTTACTTCAGACAAAACCAAAGACTTCTAAGACTGCATTACTACTGAAGTCTCCAGGTTTCAACTCCACAAAAGTTTTTAAACCTACAGTATTATCTACAAAGCAAATGAATCTAGAGTTTTCAAAAACAAGAAAATCTCCAAGGACAAGTGTTACTGGGTTCAAGCCAACAGTAATATCAACAGACAAGATGAATTTGAACTTTAACAGCATGACAACCCCAAGAAATGGGGATACCAAGACACCAAAGACTGACCCTAGGAAATCAACTGGATCCATGCTTCAAAGAAAATCCTTTGGTATGTGTTGTATAAAAGATACATCTGTGAGTGTCACAGATCTCATTAGCTTGAGATGGAAGATGTTTTGTAGGGTAATTAAGATAACAAGTTTCAATGAAGATATCAAGAGCATACTTAACACTAAGAAGGAAGTGTAAAAAATTCAAGAGGCAAATGTGTTTTATGAATGGGTATAACTAATAGCTTTCAGCTTTATACATGGATCATTTAGCTTACACACATATAAGGGAAAAACTGAAATCTTGCTTTAATATAGCAAACACAATTTGAATTGGATTTTGAAATAAGTCAAGAGTTTAGCATTAGGATAATCAGTTGTGTTTATTATACCCCACGCAACGAGTTGCGGAGGGTATAATGTTTTTGACCCGTCCGTCTGTCCGTCCGTCAGTTCGTCAGTCTGTCAGTCCTGTTTCTTGTCATCGCAACTCCTCTCAAACCACACAACAGAATTTCACGAAACCTTTTTGGATAATAAGGACATACTATGTAGATGTGCATATCGACAGGAAATTGCGATTCAATTTTTTTTCTAGGAGTTACGCCCCTTTGAACTTATTTACTTTAATGTACTACTGCAACAGTTTGTCATCTCAACTCCTCTGATACCACACAACAGAATTTCATGAAACCTTTTTAGATACTAAGAACATACTATGTAGATGTGCATATCGACAGGAAATTAAGGTTCAATTTTTTTTCTAGGAGTTACACCCCTTTGAACTTATTTGCTTCAATGTACTACTGCAACAGTTTGTCATCACAACTCCTCTGAAACCACACAACAGAATTTCATGGAACCTTTTTAGATAATAAGGACATACTATGTAGATGTGCATATCAACAAGAAATTACGGTTCAATTTTTTTTCTAGGAGTTATGCCCCTTTGAACTTATTTACTTTAATGTACTACTGCAACAGTTTGTCATCGCAACTCCTCTGATACCACACAACAGATTTCATGAAACCTTTTTAGATAATAAGGACATACTATGTAGATGTGCATATCGACAGGAAATTAGGGTTCAATTTTTTTTCTAGGAGTTACACCCCTTTGAACTTATTTGCTTCAATGTACTACTGCAACAGTTTGTCTTCACAACTCCTCTGAAACCACACAACAGAATTTCATGAAACTTTGTAGATAATAAGGTCATACTATGTAGATGTGCATATCGACAGGAAATTGTGATTCAATATTTTTTCTAGGAGTTACGCCCCTTTGAACTTATTTGCTTCAATGTCTTCTGCAACAGTTTTTCATCGCAACTCCTCTGAAACCACACAACATAATTTCATGAAACTTTGTAGATAATAAGGACATACTATGTAGATGTGCATATTGACAGGAAATTATGATTCAATTTTTTTTCTTACACATATTTTATTTCTCCAATGACAATGTGAGGACGTGGGGTATGTGAGCGTGCTCACTAAGGTTCTTTAATTTGATATATCTATATTTCTCTTAAAATTTTGTGACTTTTTACAAAAGACATTTTAGCAATGTCTATTTAAATAATCATTTGATCTTTATAGCAACACCATTCAAGTTTAATGCCACATTAAACTGCACAGTAGATGGTAACAGATCAGTTAAGAGGCCATCCTTTGACCTTAAAGCTAGTCTTTCTAGACCAATGACATGGAAAAGTCATAAAGGAAAACTGAAATCTGTAGCTGAAACCTATTCAAGCAACAGTGCTAAATCAGTCAAGGTGCAGGCAAGGTAGGTTGACTTTAAAGGTTTTACAAATACCTATGTCAAGCATAAAAATTAATAATGGCAGGTATTTACATTATTAAGATTAACCCTTCACCAACAGCAACCTTTATAGAAGTCACATATAAGTCTCAAATAATGGCTTCCCTGGCAATAGAGTTACAACAATAATTATTATTACAATTATAGTTATGAGCACAGTACCTTAATTATGATTTAAGGATATGATGAAATTGAATTGTGGAGGTCCTGAAATAATTGTTGACCTCAATTAACATTTAACATGTTTAATGATATCCTAAAATTGAATTGTGAAGGTCTTTAATTATATATATAATGGAGCTCCATGAATATTAAGGATATTCAAAGACTTCTTAAATAAAGCAATTTTTACAGATTATTTGTGGAGATCCTGAAATTGATATATAGAGGTCCTGAAATATTTTAGGACGTCTTCAATGATTATGGATATCCTGAATCGAATTATGGAGGTCTTGAAATATTCCAAGAGCTCCTTAAATACAAAAATTTGACTAAATCTGTGCCTCATAATTTTATGCAATTGAAATGGCAAATTTAGACAATATTGATGGAAATCATCCTTTGAATAACTGATATTAATCCAATGATAGAAACATACGTTACTATTATTCCAAGGTGGACTATGCCAAAAAGCATTAAAAATATTTTTGTTTTGTAATATTCTACTCTGCCGATAATCATATAGGCAAGCATAATTTCTAAATTTGTTATAAAATTGGTGAAAAGTATTATTGTAGGAAATCAAAAAAACAATATTGAAAATCAGATATGATAATAGTATAACAGAAATCTGTGATGATAGTAACTCATTATTCACAACTTGAGAACTTGTATCAGTTTCCCATAAACCATATTTTTGTGAATTTTATGAGTACTTGAGGCAAAAAAATATCTGAGAAAGGAAAAAGTAGATTAAACAGGGATTAAGGTAGTTGGGATTTAATTTTTTGTTTAAGCCATACATTTTAAAAAAATTTCTTATCCTAAGTTTTATAACTGAACTCTTGTTTGGTTGTAATAATCTATGTTAGCACAAGTTCAGTTATGAAACTTTGAAACATGAAATATATCTCAAAGATGCAAAAAGCTTAAAATAATACAAATAGGAAAATGAAAGTAAGGATGAGAACCCCCTACCCTCTAGATCTGGCACTGTCTTGAATCCCTGTTTAATATTCTTACATTAATTATACAAATTAGTATGTTCAGATTCGCCAACAATCCATGATTTTATGACTATTTTCTCCTTTTTTCAACAAACAGAAGTGCCATGTTTCTTTCATGATTTCAAATAAAGAGCGATAACTTTGGCACGTCTTCAACCAGAGATATGAAACATGCTTCACAGCAAACAAGGATTCATTTTTGCAAGAAAAACTGTAAGTCCCAATACTCTAGGTCTTTTCAGTGAAATGTTTATAAAGCTTTTTATGAATCCCTATACTAAAACAAAAACTTTCAAATTTATCAAAAGATATAGACATTTTACTCATCTTCCCAATGGCCAGGATCACTCCAATCAGTGAAGATTGGAGTAATTTCAAAATTTTAATCATCAAACAAAAATGAGTAATAGATATTTCATAATTTTGTTATCTTGATAGTGGTATCAAAACATTGATTAATAATGGTGAGCATATCTGTTCTGTGTGATTGTTTAATATTGTGTTTGCATGTTTAAAAATTTTCTTTTATCATATGAAATGTAACCTTTACTTGAGTTTTAAGTTTTGAATGTTCATTTTGATGATTTAAGTTTTTAATTTATCAGTAGTAGACCTGATGGTACCTGTTTGTTTTTATGAAATTATATGTCCTGCCCTATCATGGTTCATTGACTTTAAAAATTTTGCATATTTTACAAGTTATATTAATATATATCATTCTAAAAAGATTTGAGGAACCTCTTTATACATATCTGTTGGAGAGATACAAGTCCCTAAACTATTTTTAACCATTTATTTTGTTATCACTTAAAATCCATGCATGTGCTTAACCTGGGACAGCACATTATGTACACAATAGAACATTATTCTTTCTCTTTATCTTCATCCTATATATAGGAGTACATTATCTACAGCTGATTTCTCATTTCAGTCTGACAGGGTTCATATGACATTGACCTTTTTTTCATGGATCTTTGATAATCATAATGTTAAGTTTATGTGAATTCAATCCCTGGAGTGGGGTCACTTCGACCTTTTTGTGGTAGGGGTGAGCAGCTGAGACATTGAGTACCTTTTAAAATATAATTGAAATACAAAAAGTATGCCTAGTGTACTGCAACACCACTATCCCAGGTTAGGGGAGGGTTTGGCGCCAGCAAACTAGTTTAACGTGCCACATTTTATATGTGCCTGTCCTTAGTCAGGAGCCTGTAGTTCAGTGGTTGTCGTTGGTTCATGTCTGTCATATTTTTTTTGTAAATTGTTTTCTTATAAATCAGGCTGTTAATTTTCTCAATTGGATTGTTTCATATTTTTCATGTCAGGGCTTTTTATAGCCAACTATACAGTATGGGTTTTTCTCATTGTTGAGGGCCATATGATAGCCTATAATTGCTTACATCCACTTCATTTGAACTTTGGTGGATAGTTGTCTCATTGGCAATCATACCATATCTCCTTATTTTTATACTAAAGCTAACATGCTTATGCTATTTCATGGGAAGATAAATAGTTTTAACAAATATCTGATGCATTTCTGACTGTAGTTTCAGATACTTATGATTCAATCATCAACCTTGTCATATAATTCACCTTAAATTCTCGACCTTATAACATATCACGTTGCTGTAAAAAAATTACCTATTTCAGCGGCTAATACCTATCACACTTCCTATAGTAATTCCCCCCAACCGGATATTCGATCATGATCAGTAAAAATAATGACAAGAAAAGAATTTATGGCAAAGAAACAAAATTTTTAATCTGATGGGCAAAAGATAAGGTCAGTTGAAGTTAAATAGCACACAAAATGTAACCTTAATGTTTTGTACATACAGGCTAAATATCACAAGGCTAGGTAAATAGTTAAAAAAGTCAGAAGATGTAGAATTTCTAGTCAAGCAAAAATACAGTGTGGGGTTAAAGTATTTTAGAAATCAACTTTGTCAAAACGTAATAAAATTTTGTGAAACTATCTTTGTTTTAATGGTTAAGAGATATCTTGCAATCTCTGATGCAAACTTAAAATTTTTTTTATTTTTTTATTTTTTTGGTATTTAACTGAAAAAACAAACTTTTTGCAGTTCACATTTACATACAGTATAAATTTTGTAGACATCAATTACTTGTCAAACCTTCTAGGATGTTATTTAACTTGGATGGAAGCTTCTTTAAGATCGAGAAATAACATATGAAGAAAAATGTGTTTTGGTTTTTTTCCCGGTATAATACGGATAAATAGACTTAGTTTTAAGCCAGTCAGCAATACATTTACACTATGACAGCAGAAATAGCAGTCAAGACACAGGGTTAGGTTGAACCCTTTACAAATTTTTAAAGATATATATAGTAAATCACTTCTATATTTTTAGGATTGTATTTGTGGAAAATCATACCCTAGCCAGGTAAGGTATGATAGGTGAAGGAAATCAAAACGATTTTTTTTATTGATAGAGTTCCCAAAAGGGTCTATATTTTGATATGTTTTTGGACCCTGAACATGCTGAATGAGTCAAATAAAATGTCATACATATTTTTTAAATCGTAACTATTGCTGTTTTAATTTCAGAGAAGAAAGGCGGACCTCTGCTATGAATAAAAGGACAGACCAGAAGTATAATGCACATATGGCAAATAGAAGTGTTGTTCACTAAACAGAAAAATATCTTCTCAATTCTCAGTGTTTTTAGTATGGAGTAATGATTTTAAAAATTAAAAGCAGAAATTACCTGGCACACAATTTTTGCTGATTTTATGTTGATGTTTTTGTTTTATTCTATAGAAATTTTTACACTGTAAATAATTCTTAATGTTTATATATACAATGGCAGCATGGAATAGATAATAAACCTCTATTTAGAATTAACTATTCTAAAGTATTTTTCACGTTACTATTGTGAAACAGAGTTGATTTAATATTTAAATAATAACTGTTTTGACATCCCAGATTTACTTGTTACAAATGCCATTACAAATTTTCAATTTACCATTTATTTGAATCCTTTTTTCATTAAAAAAAACACATACCATCTCAGAAAAATTGGTTAACCAGAGAAAACCAATCTTTTTGTGACAGAAATTTTGTATCTACATCATTCTATCTCTTAGCAGAAAGCAGAGATAACTCATCTTTTTGTTTTAGAAAGTTTGTATTTACATCATTCTATCTCTACACAGAAGTCAGAGATAAGTCACCTGTTTGTATCAGATAGTTTGTATTTACATCATTCTATCTCTACACAGCAGTCAGAGATATGTCACCTGTTTGTATCAGATAGTTTGTGTATTTACATCATTCTATCTCTACACAGCAGTCAGAGTTGTGTCACCTGTTTGTATCAGATAGTTTGTATTTACATCATTCTATCTCTACACAGCAGTCAGAGTTATGTCACCTGTTTGTATCAGATAGTTTGTATTTACATCATTCTATCTCTACGTAGCAGTCAGAGATATGTCACCTGTTTGTATCAGAAAGTTTGTATTTACATCATTCTATCTCTACACAGAAGTCAGAGATATGTCACCTGTTTGTATCAGATAGTTTGTGTATTTACATCATTCTATCTCTACACAGCAGTCAGAGATATGTCACCTGTTTGTATCAGATAGTTTGTGTATTTACATCATTCTATCTCTACACAGAAGTCAGAGATATGTCACCTGTTTGTATCAGATAGTTTGTGTATTTACATCATTCTATATTTCTATTTCTTGTTTTACCTTCTTCTTACCTGCTGTTATCTTTCATGAAAAAATAAATATTTTATTCATTGTACAAATTAGTTCCTATTGTAAATAGTCTTATCTTATACATGTATTATAATTCGTTGTACAGATACCTTTATGTCTCATTTAAACACCATTCATTATTTTAGGTCTCATTTTATTTATATAGTTATTTTATTCATCAGTATGATCTGCAGAAAAGTTAATTCATGATACATATTTTAAAATTCCAAAATGGAGAAACAATTATGCAGAATTACTTGCATTTAAGCATACATTTCAGAACAAAGTTCTGTTTTTGTCTCACCTTGACGTAGTCAAAAAGCGAGACATAGGTATGCTGTTTCAGGCGGCGGCATCAACAATGTGATTAGGTCAGTTCAAGTAGAACCATTAGTGGTAGGCCAATGTTAATTGGTATTCAGTTGTATAAGCATTAGCACATCTCATTTCCATGGAGAATATTTGACCCCGCCCCTCAGTCATGGTCTATTGACTTTGAAACTTTCGCTTAGTTTACATGTATTAGTTTGTGATTAGATCAGTTTAAGATGAACTGCTAATGGTAAGTCAACGATATTTGGTATGCAAATTTATTGGCATTTGCAAGTATCGTTTCCATGGAGATTATATAGCCCACCCCTCATCATGGTTCATTGACTTTGAAACTTTTACATAGTTTACAAGTTAGTGTTTGTCTTTAGGTTTGTTTAAAGGGAACGACTTATAATAAGTCAATGGTATTTAGTATGCAGTTGTATTAGCATTGGCATATCTTATTTTTATGGAGATTGTTTAGCCATGTACCTTCAGTCATGGTTCATCGACTTTGAATATTTGCATAACTTATGTGTTAAAGCATTGCTATTTTAATTTCAACATTTGCGTTATCAAAATTACAAAAAGGCGAGACATATCTCTGTGATAACAGTTTATTTATGATTTAAGGTTTAACCCTTGTCCGTATGTATGCCCCCGAATTGTTTTCAATTCTCTAACTTTAGTTTGCCTTAAACAAATGTTATGAAACTTATACACAATACTTATTTAATACCACCAAAAACAGATCAAATTTGAATTTGGGTGGCATCAATTTCATCATTCTCGAGTTATGTCCCTTTATAAATGGAAAAATTGCAGAATTTATTGTTTCCGCGTTTAATAAGTTTCAAAGAAATTAGTACATTGACTCTTACATATTTACAAGCGGGGCATCTGTGTCCCATGGACATATTCTTCTTTTATTTTACAAACCATTCCTTCCTTGGGGTGGGGGATTAAAAGTCAAAATTTGTGGAAATGTGTCCAGAAAAAGATATACACAAGTTTAAAAATGTGCCTATTTATATGCATAAATTATTGTAAAGTTTTTGCTCTAATGTTGCATTGTGCATTGTTGGTATTTTTATTGCAAATTAGGTTTGAAGCAAAAGTGTAAGGTGGATTTTATTTCATAACTTCCTTAACACTGATATAGCAGGCATATTTTGTATATTATGTTGAACAGTTTTTATACGACCGCAAAAAAATTTTTGTGGTCGTATATTGGTATGACGTTGGCGTCGTTGTCCGAAGACACATTAGTTTTCGCACTCTAACTTTAGTTTAAGTGAATGGATCTCTATGAAATTTTACCATAAGGTTCTATATCACAAAAGGAAGGTGGGGATTGATTTTGGGGGTTATGGTACCAACAGTTAAGGAATAAGGGGCCAAAAAGGGGCCAAAAATAAGCATTTTTGTAACTTCCAGACATAACTTGTGTGTAAGTGTATGGATCTCTCTGACATTGTACCACAAGGTTCTATATCACAAAGGGAATGCTGGGATTGATTTTGGGGGTAATTGCCTCTAAATTTTAGGAACTAGGGGCCAAAAAGGGGCAAAAAACAAGCATTTTTTCTAGTTTCATGACAATAACTTGTGTGTAAGTGTATGGATCTTTATGAAATTGTACTACAAGGTTCCATATCACAAAGGGAAAGCTGGAATTGAGTTTGGGGGTAATTGACCAAAAAGCTTAGGAAGAAGGGGCCAAAAAGGGGCTAAAAATAAGCATTTTTCTAGTTTCCAGACAATAACTTTTGTTCAAGTGTATGGATCTGTCTGAAATTGTACTGCAAGGTACCATACCACAAAGGGTAGGCTGGGATTGATTTTGGGGGTAATTCTTTCAAAATTTTAGGAATTAGGGGCCATAAAAGGGCAAAAAAACAAGCATTTTTCTAGTTTCAGGACAATGACTTGTGTGTAAGTGTATGGATTTTTATGAAATTGTACTGCAAGGTTCCATATCACAAAGGGAAAGCTGGGTTTGAGTTTGGGGGTAATTGCCCTAAACGTTTAGGAATTTGGGGCCAAAAAGGGGTAAAAAAAACAAGCATTTTTCTAGTTTCCAGACAATAACTTGTGTTCAAGTGTATGGATCTCTCTGAAATTGTACTGCAAGGTACCATACCACAAAGGGAAGGCTGGGGTTGAGTTTGGGGGTGATGAATTATAAGGGGGTTCAAAAAATTTGGGGGGGGGATTTTTTTTCCTTTTTTTTCTTCAGAATTTTCCATTTTAAATTGGTTATTTCTGATTTATATATAAAAGCAAATAATAATGATATGGTTTGAATAGGTAAATTGAAAATTTTTAAGTTCTTAGACCACTTTCATTCTGTGTCAGAAACCTATGCTGTGTCAAATATTTAATTACAATCCAAATTCAGTGCTGTATCAAGCTTGAATGTTGTGTCCATACTTGCCCCAACTATTCAGGGTTCGACCTCTGCGGTCGTATCAAGCTGCACCCCAGCGGAGCATTTTATTTACTATATAATATAACACAGAACTGTGCATTTTTGCAAATGTATTATTTTATGTGTTTACAAATGCTGTAAATGAAACATTCTGTAATGATTTGTTTAAACTTGATGTAGTTAAACACATTGTCATTTAGAACATATTAGACTTATTAACGATTTATTTAATTATATCATTAGATATAATCCTTTTTTCACAAATAACACATATACATTTTTGTATTTTTGATATTTTAAACCATTTTAAAGTATAAGTTTTCTGTCTCAAGAATATGAAAATCAAAAGGTCATACTTTTTATTTTAATCAATCTTATGTTATAGGCTACTAAATGAGCTCATTTTGTTAAATGTTAAATAGTTATTTTATGTCTTAGGAATACTTAATTTCCATAAAAAATAGGGAAATAAACAGAAATCAATAATGCGGTTTGTTTTAGTTATTTTATTTGCCATTTAAGGGTGTATGTAACAGTAGAGGCAGATAACAGTTCCAAATTCAAGACTTACTCTTTGAGATGTTGCTAATGTCGGCACACAAATTTACCAAAAATATACCTTCATCAAATGCTGGTACATGAATTTGGTTGTGTCAGACAGTTTCTAAACCCAGATAGTGCTTATCCGACTACCGGTAGGTTAAATTTTACATTTGTAATTTGTTCCCTTGATCATTGTGATAAGTGTTGTCAAAGTGTCAATAATTAATATATACTTGAAAATTACATCCATTCATTCACCTAGGTTTTGTTCTCTGCAAATGAATGAATCTGAGCAAATAACGAGTGCATGTTGTGCGGCAGAATTTTGTTTAAATGTACAGGATAGTACAAGGTCCTAAGCCGTCCCCTAACACTATGACTGTGAAGAGTTACATTTAGGGTAACTTCCCAGCATTTCATGCTTCATTAACACTGGCAAAGTCTATATATTTTATTTTCAGACAGTAAGTAACCAAATCAAATAATTTGTTATATCTGTAGGAGCATACCTGCATACTTGCAGCAATTTCCTGCAAACTAAAGTAGGTCACTGTCACTTTCATTTCATTATTCAATGACTTTGGTTATTTTCATCTGAGTTTATCAGTGGCTGAGTGGTTTAAGTACACAACAGCCCTTGTGGATTTTGCTTTATCCACCTGCCCACCTGTGCCTACTCTAGCTATATTCTCTTTTTTTTTGTAAAAATATTGAATACAAATGGTGATCTGCTTTTTTCAATTGATTGTACATGCAAGTCTTTTGATTCAACAAAAGAAATTGCATGCCCATTCCTATGGGTGGGCAGAGTGGACAAGCTAGAAATTTTGCCCACCCACTGCCCACTCCCCCTGTGGGCAGTTGGACAAAGCAAAATCCACCTCAGCTTTAGTGTAGTTTGTTTATGGTGATCACTAGCTGGAAAACACTGATAGTGAGTTTGAACCCCTTTTGTAGCAAGTGCGATCAATTATCTTACTTGACAGTTTTTCTGCCGAAGGTGGTTCTTTCTGGGTACTGTACTCTGGCTTCTTCCAATAAAATGTGGCTGCTAAATTATAGCCAAGAGTGCTGAAAGTTGCATTAAACACTAACCATCAATCAATCTGAGTTTATTCTCTAATACTTTTAACTAGCAATCATGTATTAGATACAGTAGGTGGATTCAACCATATCAAATGCAGTCATCCTGACATACTTTTCAAACTACTGGTAGTATATCAATGTAATATTTTACTTCCAAAACAGTTGAATAATTTTGTTAATGCTTTCATTTGACTTGAATCATAGAACTTGGTGTTAGGATTCATCTAAGAAATTATAGTAACTTCTTGCAAAAGAAAGTGACCTACAAGCAAGTGCAGTATACATTTAAGGGTGTAAACAGACCCATGTGATTATTAAGTTATGCTGAACTAATATCTTCCATTCATTGATTCATATTAGATTTTACTTCCAAGTGACAATTATTTCAGCCCTTTTCAAACTGAAGTTTCAAAAGGCTCAGTGGTCTCATAGAAGCTTGCTTGTATGGAGTGCTCTGGTCAAACTAGGCTTGAAAATTGGTATTTGATGCTTCTTCACTAGGCATGCAGCATTTAGGAGTTGCAAAGATTGGTCAGCTCGGATTCAGAATAATATGTCTGAGAAGGATATATCTGCAGACCTTGTGAATTTACGGTTGTTATGTATTTGAAAAACTCTTGTTTAAGGTTAAGTAACAAGTTACAATAAACAGGTGATGTCACAGCTTTTTGCAAGATTTTGTATATAACTTCATGTTAATTTTGAACTCAAAATACTTCTAAAAAATATTGAATTTGGTTAATTTTCTGATTATATCATGAAATTTATATTTTTAAAAAATGTACATATGTATGGAATGCAAATAAAATGAGTAAATAACTTTTTATAACTGTCTTGAAAAAAAACATAAAAATAAAAAATCCATCGATTGTTCTTAGAGGAAATGTTACCCTTTTTCATATTTTAGCCATGTGATTAGTTTCTGTTATTATGACATCATCAAAGACAAAATTAGTAACAACGGGAAATTAAACATTCATAACCGCATTAAGTTATCGCCCGTGAAACATGATGTCTCTCCTTAATGATTCATTTTGTGGTAATTTTCACCAAGGGCACAACATTGAGTGATATATGCTAATAAATGAACACTATGATTATTTTGCATCCTTGAAATGGAAATTTATGTAGCAACATCACATCAATATTTAAGAAAATATTGAGGTTTAAGTTTTGAAAATAGTGTTGAAAGATAAATATTAGACAGTTTTCCACAGATTTTACATGAATTCTATTAAAATATACACCTATTTCGATGTATTTAAAGATTTATATTCAATCTTAAATAGCAAATATAATAATAAAATGAATTACATTTTATAATTTTCAGTTAATGTTCAACATGTCAAAGTTGTTTGCAAAATCTTACAAAATCTGTGTCATCACCCATATACAATGTACTGTTTCTTGACCTTTAACATAATGTACATCATTTGAAATGCTGATCCATTTTTTTATTTTGTAAGCTAATAAGTAAGCTTGAAATAATTCTAGCGACACTGTTTAATTATTGAATAAGAATATGTATACAAAATGTGAAGGTATTCAACCATGAAACATACATGAAATAATTACATTTTAACATAAAATATTTGTGGTATAAAAAAACTACATTATTTATAGTATATTTATAAATATATATAACAACAATTACAAGAGATCTTATGTTAACTGAGATTAAAATTATTGATGACAAGCATTAGAAAGACCAGTGAATATGAGCTCAAGTTATTCATCCAAACATAAGAACACAACATACCATGCATACCAGTACATCACTTTAATACTTTGACAATTATATATATTAAGTGCAAAAATTATAAAATTTGGATCCATCCTTCATACACATATTTCAAAAACTTGCACAAGATTCCTGATTAAGCACCTGTCTATCTAACCCATAATGCTAATTGCAATATTATCAACACATAGATTTTCCCTTCACCATATTCTGAGAACAAGTCAGAGGTAACTTTACTCCTCTTTCTAATAAATTAATTAATTCATTACATCCATGACAACATGCAGCAAATGGACTTAGTAAACAGTAAAATATTGCACAAATAAATCCAATTGGCCATCCAAATACCAATAAAATTATGGCCCACAATATACTCCATAACCAACCACAATCTGCCATAACTGTCTATAGTAGATAAATGGGTAGATCCTGAAAATAAACAACAATAACTTGTATTATCACTATTTTACGAAAATTTCCTTTGATCTTACTGACTGATAATTTCCTTTCTCAGCGGAATCGAGTGATATGAAAATTATTGCTAGAAACTAAGGGGGCACGTGCCGTTGCTAATGAAATTGACAACGTCGGCATAGGTAAAATAGCGATAAACAGATTATCATTGGTCATCTCAACTCGATTGCTTTTCTCGCTTTCGCCGTACCAGCTCAAGCGAGAAAATCAATCTCGTTGAGATGATCAACGATAATCTATAATTATTTACTTGCATCTTTTACTTTGGGAGAAATATCAGTTTGCATGCAGCAATGTGGTTAAGTTGTGTATTCAGGCCAGTCTGACTTAAGCCAGCTCCCACTATCCACTTGCCTTTGTGAGTAAGTGGATAATAGGGGATGGCTTTTAGTCGGACTGTATTAAGGCCAATTTCTTAGAAAACTAAAAAAAATTGCCACTACAATCTATTTGACTTTGTATTTTTTTTATGCTATTAAGGTAGATCAGGTGTTAAATTCCTTCTTTGATTGTAAAATAGCAGAAAAAAATCGGTCTAGATCTTTAATGAACTATGCAAATTTTGAAAGAGGAAGGCAATTGAGGAAAATTGTGTAATTTATCTTATAATTACAACTGTTTTACAAACACAAAATGTTTTTTCTTGATTTTTTTTCTAACTTAGCCATAAACACGATATAAGGGGAAATAACTCACATTATCTAACTTTTATTCTTAAATGCAGTAAATTTACCTTATTTGTTTTGTAGCAAGAAAAGGAGTGGATCTTAATTAAAAAAACATTAGAATTTTTTTATACTTTGCCAAATGCAGTTTATAATGTTTTTTTTATTTAAATATGATAAAAAGTATGGGCCACAAAGCTTTTTTCAAGCTACAGTGTGTGCAACATTGTCAGATTTTGTATAGATTATACACAATGTATATGAAAACCCTATTCTGTGTGAATAGAGAAAAAACTAAAAGATAGTATTTTAAAATAAAATATGAGAGGATAGTTTTATCATGTTTGAGCCTCCTCATTGGGTTTTTAATTATTTGATTACTTGGCCGTTTTTACAGTGATTATTTGATTACCAGACCAAATATTTCATGATTATGTGATTACTTGGCAGTTTTTATAGTGATTATTTGATTACCAGACCAAATATCTCAAGATTATTTGATTATCTAGGACTGCTTTTTTGATTATTTGATTATCTTGTTTAAAAAAATAATAAATTATTATGTGATTATATTGGCAACAAAATTGTGATTGTGTGATTACTTGGACACCCCCATGAGGGGGCTCATGTTTATATTGTGCTCTCAGAAAATAAAAATAAAAATTGGGGTCACAGGCCATCTACCTTACAAAATAAAATTATCATTAGGGGTTGACAATTAAAAGCATACAAGAAAATAATTGCATTGATGGTTATCATTTATTAGAGACTTATCCTGCATTTATCATGCTCTAGTTATGCTGTATATTTAATGGTTACAGCAATCTGGGACTATTATACTAATATATTATGTCCCAGCAGCAATTAACAATGTTATTTTCTATAGGTATAACGCGAAGTTGAAAACATTACATTTATGTTGGGATGTTTGATTCCAAATATGATACTCGCCGAATATTCCTTTTAATATATGGAATTCAATAGTAGATCATAGTAGGTGGCATTACCTTATTATTCAACGTACTATGTGGTTGTATGATTCTGTTGACACATACATTTCTTTGTGTAAATATAGTTTAAAATTGTGTATTTAACGCTACTTACAAACAGGACCTTTGTTTTTGTGTGATTTAATTTTTTCCGGGTGTTATAACCACACTCTTCGTTGTTTACACTGGAATTAAGATCATTCATGGGAGACAACTCTATAAGTAAAAATCCGGCTCAGCGTGTCTGTCGTGGAGTGATATCGTTCTGTAAGCATGTTATATTTGCCACTGGATACTAAACACAAATCTATCACTATCCCATTTCATTTTATACAGTTCAAAACCACTGACACTTTGGGTCATTTTTGAGCTTTAAATATTTTTATTTAGTTTAAATATTTAAAAATTGGCAGTGGCTATCATTTTGACGGAGCTGTCAAAATGGAGATATTTTATCAACCAATAATAATAGAATATGTGCAGTTCATGTGTGTAATGGCAGCATCTTTCTTGTGAAAGACTGAAAAATGCACCAAAAGCAAGGCACTGGTTTTGTAACACTTGTAAAGCATTTTGAAGTTGTTGAATTTTACTTTTAATTTCAAAACTTATGGGATATGTTTCGTTATAATATCAAAGTTAATATGCATGCTTTACTCATGTAACGTGAGGGTACCCAAATTGCATCTATTTTGACAGTTTTTTAACCTGTTTTTATTCATGATCCAGACAAAAGTTTCCATTCTGTGTTTATTTTGTAAATGTATCCTTATTTACTATCTAATTCCGCCAATTTAATTTTAATTCCACATTGAATCATAGAAAAATGGGGTTTTCAAACGATCCATGATCCTGTAATGAGGAGTACCCAAATTGCATCCATTGTTAAATTCACATCCTTAAAAATCAAATAACAGGTGTTTTGTTTTATTTCTTCAAATATTTAGAAAAATTTGACATTAGTTCATGCTTACTATTTATTTCTTAAAAAATGGATGTTCGTAACATATTTTATTTGCTCATTTTTAAAAGATGATTTTTTTGTGAACGTCGTATGGCGACGTTTCCGTAGATTTGACTTTTTCCGGTGAATACTTCATCTGTTGATATTTACTGTGAACGTTTTGTGAATATTTAAATATATTAACCTATTTGAAATGTCAAATAATAAAAAATACAAATTGTTTAGTCCCATAAAAAAACTAAGATTTTCGCTGCTATGTTTGCTAAATAGGTGCAATGTGGGTACTCGGTGCAATTTATTTACCGTGACGTTATACATTTTTTAAAGAAAATATATTTTTTAGAGATTTCTTATTAACATAAAGGGGCATTAGCTGTCAAATTCATGTTCACCGATTCGATTCAAATTCTCATATACTAAAGCGTATATCCAAATTACAATAAGTCCGAAATAAACAATTAATAATGCATGGACTCGATGATATGTATCAGCATTTCGTGTGTATTTTAGTCTAGACGCCATCTAATTAACCATCGAGATGATCTCCAAAGACTGCCGACGGTCATATAACCCGATATAAACATAAACATAAATATAAATAGATAGCGTCCTCGTGCAAGTGGACTTTCCTAGGTCTGTTTGATTTCATGTTATAGGTTAAACAAAAATAAGTTAATCATCGTTTGTCTGTATACGAATGATTTTTTGACAATTTTGTGGATCGAATCAGTCAACGAATGGTTCACCCTTGTTTCAATTTCAATGTTGCCATTCTTTTCCTTTTAGGGCTATTTTCCTAATGCTTGTAGTTTAAAGGTTTGGTTGGCTTACTTGCTTTGTTTGTATAAATGTTTGCTCAAGCATTTTAATTACGATTGACATCTGTTAGGTTTATTAGAAAGAGAAAAAAAAAATGCTGAACATTATGAATTGCTCTCTTAGACTTGCGTTGCTGGTGGTTATTTTTATAACCTTTGAAGACTAATTTTTTAGAGGTAACTTTCAGTACAACATGGAAAATTGACAAATAATCTATCATTACACAGAATGAAAATATATAGAAGTTTTTACTCTTGAAAACCATCTTATTGGCTATGAAAAACAAGCTTAAAATTTTATCGAAACCTTTTCTAAATAACCCGAAATTTCTTTTGAACATGGTAACAGGAGAGACAAATTAAAATACACCTGTGATGTAAATCTTTTGTTCAAACTCTCCATTATTTTTCAGGAATGGAGAGTTATTTTCTTTTGTTCATCTTCATTCATCCGGACGTTTTGCCCTTTGGATATTTCCATGGGCACTTTTTTAAAAAGTGTTCACCCATGGAAATAATCCTAAAGGACGAAACGCGATAATGAATGGAGATGAAAACTTACTAAAACGACTGATAATGGAGTTTTTTTTTAAATAAGGATCGTAGTAAAACAATGAACACCAAATATCTTATTATTAATAAACAACTTTTATTTGCGAGTCGTAATTCCATTGTATAACATATACTGGGGTAACACAATAATATGGACACCTTAGAGAAAGAAAGAAAGAAAAAAAGAAAGAAGGAAAGAAAGAAAGAAACACACACACACACACATATCAATCAATCATGTTTCAAAGGGAGAAAGACCGTTTACAATTGCTTTTTTTAAAGCAATTGATTTATATTATAAATCAGCGTTTTTAACCATTCTTATGCACCGTTTATATCACAAAATGTCTCCCTGGGACCCCCTTCCCCCCCCCCCCCCCCCCCCCCCCCCCCCCCATTTTTTTATACCCTCCACTTACAACTCTTGAATGAAGCTGCATGTGTGCTATCCTGTCAACGGAGACGAACGACAACTCCACTTTTTGTCCTTTAATATTTTTATTAAATCTCTTCAGAAAAAAAAAATCCACATGAATGTTATGTGATCTTCTCGAAAACTACATGTCCAATTGACCTCAAAATCTGCAGTTAGCAGGGTATACATGTATTAAATCTTCATATAACAACGTTGTGCAGCCACCGCCCAAGAATTTTCGTAGAGAAAAGAAATTGCAATGCCGTAAAAATCGCTTGCTAGCTCCGTAAATGTCAATGAAATCCTACAATAAAATGTCTGCTCCTAGATTAAAATACAAATCTGTGTTACAAACTGGTGCTGAAAAATGTACATTGTATGAAAATAATCGATAAACGTGTTTTAAATGTACACAGGATCAATTAAATCCAAAGCATGCACTGCTCGTGAACTTTGATCAAAACATCAATTACCTACAATGAGAAAAGAAATACAGTGTGTGTATTCCATGCTATACATGTTGTCTGTCCAACGTCCCCACCTAAAAAGAAATAAAAATGCTTAAGTTTTCGCTATTATAAAGCCTCGTCACGTGACGCCACAACCTACATGGCGCGAGACAAAGACGCGCGCGGGACCTGAAATAGAACAAAAACTTTCCAAACTAAATATAAAAACTTAACCATGCCAAGAAATTGCCTCCGTTGAAATTCTGCAAATATCCCATAGAGCAAATTACATGGATGATTAATATTGACCATTTGGTATATGGCTGTGTTCTAAGCGACACGTACATGAAGGTCATAAATTAATTTGTTGAATGAAATCAAATCTTTAACTACTAATGGGTGCCGTAGGAGGTCTACCGGAATTTTTAGCTTAGATTTCTTGGCATGGTATCGTTTTCACTAAAATTCCACAACATTATCCATATTCTGTTTTAGTTTAAACAATATTTATTCAGATAAATCAACATTAAACCATATTATACAAATGAAATAAATATCAAGGATTCAGAAACAAGCAATTTGCTTTTACAAATCTGTTCTTTTACAAAAATAATACACTTATTGAACAATACATAAATATAATTACTGGCATGCTCTGTAATAAATATATGAATATGAAAATGAAAAAGGTGGAAAATACTTAAGAGAAGAAGAAAAAAAAAATAAACATGAATTTTTGTAATGTATACAGTGTGAAATGCTTGGGTTCCTATTGAATGATGTAGCATTAACATCAAGGGTTAAAACGTTTACTTTTAATAATATATTTCTGCACCAAACTAAATAAAAGACTATTTTGCTCATCTGAAAGTACCGTTGATCCAAAAAGCAAAGTTTTTGTGTCAACTTGGACAGGAAGAACTGTTGTGGGGATGTATAAGTACCCTGCCACGTCCACTCTGTGTTTTTGTTACTTGTTTTTGTACTTATAGTATCTATCGGATGAGTTAAGCCCTTTTCAACTGATTTTTATAGTTTGTTCATATGTTGTACTGTTACACCAATGTCCAAAGTTAGGGGGAGGGTTGGGCGCCGGCTAACATGTTTAACCCCGCCACATTCTGTATGTGCCTGTCCCAAGTCAGAAGCTTGTATTTCAGTGGTTGTCGTTTGTTGCCGTATATCATATTTGTTTTTCGTTCATTATTTTGTACATAAATCAGGCCGTTAGTTTTCTCGTTTGAATTATTTTACATTTGTCATTTCGGGGCCTTTTGTAGCTGACTATGCGGTATGGGCTTTGCTCATTGTTGATGGCCGTACGGTCACCTATAGTTGTTAATTTCTGTATCATTAGGTCTCTTGTGGAGACTACATTTTCTTATTTTTATATTCACTTACAGATTTGATTTTTATTTTACTGTTTAAGATATCATTGAAATTGAAGTGTTGTATTTTGATTTTGTACAGCAAAAATCGTTTGTTCTATTTAATGATAAATGTACATTAACAAAAGAAATATTACTCGGATAGTTTCTACAACAATATTGTGGTTAAATAGAATAAATAGTTCAAGAAACTGAAATGGTCAAAATGGCGTATTCTGTATATTATTAGATTTTTTGTTGTTATAATTTGAATATATAGTATTAACGAATAGAATTTGAGGGGGTATGGATAACATTTGAATAAGACTTGAATTAAATATTGGGTGGGATTTTTATTCAATTCAGTTTCAACAGAAACGCGTAACATAATCGAATTCCTTTACTGTTGTTTTTGTCCAGTGGCAAATATAACACTTACATCGGTAGTGCAAATGACAGCGTTAATCTTGAAATGTTTTAATGAAATCAAAAAGATTTACAAAACGCAATCTAGAAATGTTTTTAATCGCTCGGGTTTTTTTCTAAAACTTTTTGCCTCCTTTCTGATAATAGGATATAATGAAAAATATTTTCAGTTTGCTTGTATTGCTATTTAAGACTTATCCGCTAAAACATGCATA